GAGAATCTGATTTAGCTGAATATGCTAACTCCCGCTTTCGGGTTCCAATTGCTGTAACCGATACCGCGGGGCTGAGTACCGGGTCCGTGCCGACTTCGGTTGGCGAGCATCAAATAACTAGCACTACATTTGATGCAGCTGCTTCTCATTCTTCAACTCCATCAGCTTCATCTCCACCTTTACCATCATCAGTAACTGCTACATCATTTCCATCTTCATCCACTCTTCCAACAGCGGTTGCTACATCATCTCCATCGGTTGCACCTGACCATGGAGAAGGTGTCCCTCCTCCACAACAGTTCATGGAAATTTGGGGCAAAATTATGCTGCCCCTTCTGAAGATCCATAAAGGAGGGGGAGTGTTACCCTTTCAGTCTCCATCGGGTGCAACTTGCTTTCGAGGCCGGTGGAGCTTGCTAACTATCTGAAGCCTTTGGATTCAGAAAAAGACTGGGAGAAGATTCAGTCACTCTCGGGGGAGTGTTTGTTGAACAATTCTATGCATAACGCCGCATCGGTACGTTCCTTTCTTCTTCTATTATTTCTTCTACTTTGAGCAAACGTACTCTAAGTTTTACCTCTTCTTGTTTTGTAGGCCAACTTTCTTAATTTTGAGGGCCTTCAAAGGCTGATTCATGAGAAGGAAGAACTAATTTCTGAACGGGATCAGCTTTTGGCAGAACGGGACTACACTGTTCTCCGCCTCTCAGAACTGGAAACCAAGGCTACCAAGGTTTTGTTTTGAAGGCTCGTTTGCAGCAAAGCGAGCAAGAAGTGGTAACCCTTAGCTGAGAAATTGGGTCATTGAGGGTTAGATTTAATGAAGCCAAGGATAAATGGGCAGAAATCCAGAACGTCATTCTCTCTGCAACCGATCGTGAGGCTGCCTTCGCTGAAAGAGTGATTAACTTGGAGGCAACCTTAAACCCCAAAAGTGAAGAGCTTTCTGTTATGGTAGCGAAACATGTCCAGCTAGAAGAGAAGTACAGGAAAACCTTTCCGCCGAAGTTCTTGAGTCTCAAATCTTCTAGGTCTGCCCGGGAAAACCTTTTCGCAGAAGTTACTCAACTCAAAGAAGAACTCAAGCACCGAGTGGCTTCCCTCATTGTTGAAAAAACTTATTCCATGTATAGCATGAATAGAAAAACCTTGGAAGAGGCCAAGACTGGTATCATTGACATTAATGCCGAAATTGCTAAGGCCCGAGAGCTTGAGTTGGCTGTAAAAAATAGACTCCCGGCACAGTCTGTCGCTCCAGGTTCTTCTGATTCTGGTTCTGAGTTTTTGGAAACTGAAGAAGGATCGGAAGGTGATGATACCGAAGACCAAGCTGGTTAAAATGTTGAGCCATCGGTGGAACCATCTACTACTCCCAGGGATGAGGATACTTCTCTTCCTCCTAATTCCGGAGACGCTGCAGTTTAGCTTTTTCTTTCTTTTTCTATTTTGTACCTTTATTATTTTGACGCGTCTTTGTAAATAAAAGCATATATTTTTGCTCAAGTATCATTTGAGTCTTACTTTCATTTGAATGTTCATGCAAGTCTTTAACTTTCATACTTGCTCAAGTATTCTGCGCATGTTGTTCTGTTCGCGCTTTATTTTGTGTAATATCGAATGCCTTTCCTTCGAGGCACTTTGGTTTTGAGTATTATCCCTTTTTTCGTGAGGGTTTCCATGAGTATTTGCGCAAGTTTGCTTTTTGCGTCTTTTTCGTATGTGGCTTCGGGTATATTTTTCCCCGATGGCATTCTAGATTCCGGTTATTGATTCTTCCGGAATAAACCCTTTAACGTGAGGGTCTTTATAAGAGAGGGCACTCTTATGTTTACGATGCTCTTGAAGAGGACGTCTCCTGTTCATTACGGCACTAACATTTGCAGTACTTGTTTAACTTTCAAATGGCAAAATTAACTCATCATTCATACAAGAAACAAGATAAAAACAAAAGGATTTCATTTCATTTAATTCCTTCTAATTTCAAAAGTACGTAAGAATTTTTCAATGCAGAAAAGAACTTGCCATGACTTGTGGGTATCTTGTATAACTTGTTTCTACGGGGCTGGCTGCGCAGTCTCCGGTCCCGATGATGTATTCTATTCCCGAATTTTTGTTCCCACGGTTGACGTGGCATTCAGTGTTGCCGTATTCTCATATCATTCTGCCCCAATATTCGAATGCGAATTGGAATACTGAAAGTCTTGTATCTTTGAAGATCCCACCAATGAATTGCTAGGTAATTCTTCACTCAGCAGCATATCTTGTTTTCCCTTAAGAACCCATGCTAACGAGCGAAAGAATACCTAACAGTCCTCTAGTGGTTTGTGCTCATAAACAGTCGGGTAACCTCCGTTCGGTAGCAAACTTAACTTCCTGGTGGGAATTTGCTATCAAAGCAAAGATTATCTAATCGTCCCCGAGTGGAAACTTGTTCGTGTGCCTTGTTATGAAAGGTCTTATCATTGTTGTCTTCGTAGTATGCTTTCCGTCGCTGCCTCGTTAAAAACCTTATCAGAAAAACTCAATTGGGTCAAAAACTGAACGAAGGAAAAAATAGTGCAGCACATACTTTCCATTTGACTGTTGTTTGTCAGCAGTAATATCTTTTGAGGTGAGCCACGTTCCAGTTGTTGGGCAACTTGTCTCCGTTCCGGCTCTCCAACTCGTATGATCCTTTTCTAGTGATAGCTGAAACCCGGTAAGGGACTTCCCATGTTGGGCCTAACTTGCCCGCATTGAGTTCCTTGGTGTTTTGAGTTACCTTTCTCAAGACCAAGTTTCCTACTTTGAAATAACGGAGGTTGGCTCTTCGATTATAATATCGCTCCATTCTCTGCTTTTGAGCCGCCATTTTGACATGCGTCAAGTCCATGCGTTCCTCGAGTAGCTCCAAGTTAATTAGTATTGCTTTGTTGTTCGATTCTTCGTTCTCTTGGAAATACCTTAAGGTTAGTTCTCCTACTTCCACTGGTATCAAAGCTTCTGCACCGTACAATTGAATTTGTTCGTGGTTTCTAGACAAGTGAATTAATTTGATCCAAAAAGTAATGAAATAACTGATGAAATATAAAATACTTAGCCTTAGAATGTAGATGGAACGACAGAGCTAATGAGTCCGGGAACAGGGTTTCCGGGCACAATAATAATAAGATAAAAAGCGAGAAAGTAAAATTGTATTAAAATATTGTATAGAATGTAGTGTAAGTTAGCCATAAAATTCGTGTCCTTATAATGATAACAAAGCTCACTATTTATAGCTACGTCTAGGAAATGAGGTCCTAGAATCATGCCCTCCTTTAATGTCAATTATGAGGGTCAGTAATGAAGATGTAACGTTAGATATAAATGCCAAATTCCTTATAATGGGCCATCATCCTTAATGTTGCAAAATATTCTGTATTAAATGTTACTAGGCGCAAAGCATTTAATACTCCTTTTATGATCGTTATTCCTTCCGGTGACAAGCGGAACAGCTATGTTCGGTGGCCATCCCCATCTTCTGTTCCACGTGTCCTTTTTTTAAGCGGCCATGTGTCATGACATATTTTTCCCTATACAATCCCTACTTTCTCAAAACCCAGATCTGATTGCAGGGAAGGCAATCTTAATTCAAAAAACTTTCAAACCCAAACTCTAAATTTTCAAACCTCAGTTCTTCTATTTTTATTCCTTTTCTTTTCTTTTCTTTATTTTCTTCATCCCTAGAATTTTACCGAAGAGTGTACTACTTAGAGTGTTTAATCTAATAGGATTTGAGGAATATTTAAGATATTATTTGGTCGGAAAGTCCCACTCCGAGAAGATGAAGAAATCTGGGGTTTTGTTTGTTCCTTTTGTTGGTCGGTTCATATTTACTTTATCCCCAATAAAATCTTTCTGTTCATGTGAGTTTTCCGGTGAGGTGTAGCGATGTGGAGTGGGTTTGAGGAGAAAGAAAAACTATGGGGTGGAGAAGATTCCTGGAATTTTAAAATAAATTATTTTTTCCATATCTCAAAGTGGGGAAATGGGTAATGGCTAAAAATTCATGAGCAAATGAGGATGATCCTTTTATTCTAGAGAGCGAGCAACGAATGATATTCTTTGGTGGTTGAAAATGGATGTTACCAGTGGCGGATACCGAATTTTCATCAAAGTGTGTCAAAATATAAATAATTAGATACATCGAAAAGTTAAGGGGAGTCAACGTATAGTAAATATACATAAAATAAAAAAAATTATCTAGCAAAATAGCTTAATTTTTCGGCGAAGGGGTATCGCTTGACACCCCTTGCTTCAATGTGGCTCCACCACCGAATGTTACTTTAATGATGAATTTGTTCTGGATTGAAAGAGGAAGATGAAGTTTATGGAATCTGGTGTGTGATGATGAGGTTAATTTTAACGTGGGACCTGCTAATATGGCAGCTGATGTGAAAAAATTAATAGAAGGATTGGGTGCCACGATGGAGGGATGTTAGGGTTAAGGGCAATTTTAAAAAGTTTGTTAACGGTAGGGGTGAATCTGAACGAAAAGTATAACGGGAGACTAATGAAATTATATACTATATAGTGGGGCACACCTTTTCCCTATTATTTAAGGCAGATAACTAAATTTGTTTTAGGGCAGATTATAATTCAACTCTTTCACTGATTATATTTTACTTGTTTCAACTCGTCAAATGTAAGTCAATCCGTTCCTTTGATGCCCCTAGAAATGACCACTTAAAAGTAAGATATAATTGGGCAAACTGTTGTTGGAAAATGAAACTTTGATTAATTAGAATATCTGACCATATTAAATGGTAAATCAAGATAAAACATTCAATGACAAGTTGATCGGGTAATTAAGGAAACATTCCTGGAGACGGTGGCTTTTCTGATTAGAGAATGGCCAGCCAATAACCTTTAGCATAATGCAATGATATCTTCGTTAAACTAGCTCTCATTATTGATTATACTGTATATTTTTCCAAAGTCCAAGGTCGGTTTCCTCCCCGAAATACTTTTAAATCAACACTAGTGGACAACATACGCTGAGCTGGATCCCCCACCCCCACTTCAACCCCTTGGGGTTCATGGCGTCCCTTCAATGTATTCAAGAGGTCCAATTATTTCGTCCCAGGCTCTCCTCCCAATTTCAACTTGCCATCCAAGGGGTATCTTTGTTGTAAGTTATAACCCTCTATACCAAAACAAAAAATATTATACAATCCAGAATTACTCATTTTGCTTTAATTTCTTGATGCTTTATTGTAGAATAAGAAAGGATCTTTCAAAGTCGTGACAGCAAAAATGGCGGCGCAGCTTCATCTCCGTGCTAATAATTGCATTTTGTTGCCGTCAACGTCTTTTTCTTCATTCCACACATTTTCTGTATTGAATTCTTCAAAAGATTCTGGGGATAGTAGATCAGTCCTAGGCGTGGGGAGATCCTTCTTGGGTTTGAATGACAGAAGAATATTAGGAAATAGGAGAGTGATTAAAAGAAAGAATGATTCTTCTTCGGTCATAATTAGAGCGTCAGCAGGAGGTGCAGCAATATGGGATGGTTTTATGCCGGAAAAGAGCTCCAAAGCTCCTGCACTAAGTGACGTTTTCTGGCCTTCTGCAGGTAAGGTTAAGGGGTAGTAACACTACTTAAAAGTTGTACACTTTAATTACAGTATTCTTGATATGGGAATATTACGTTACTAATGGTAGAATGCATATACTGTACGTTGAAAATAGGGGCATTTGCGGCAATGGCTATGCTAGGAAAGATAGACCAAATATTGGCACCGAAAGGGATATCAATGACTATAGCTCCATTCGGAGCTGTTTGTGCTGTCCTCTTTGCCACGCCTTCTTCTCCTGGTGCTAGGGTACGCTTTCTTTCTCATTCACTACCACATCTTTTTTCTTTATATTTCTTTGCTGAAAATAACATAAGTAGTGCTATCGTTTTCTTTTTGGTGGAGGAGGAAAAGGGTTGGAGTGGGGTCAATGGCGCAGGGTACTTGTTGTTTTAGCTAGAAGGTTTTACAACCGCATGCTTATTTTATTTGCTTATAAGATATGGTCATACTATTAATGTTTTTATATATATATCGAATTGCCAATCGTAGCTTAAAGTTTTTATGTTAGTCTTCTGAGAAATGAAGCGAGGTGTCTTTAGTATGGAAAATATGTTCTCCTGTTTTAAGCTAGATATAAAAATATGTAAAACATGAAAATTACTAGTATATCCTATAAAACTGATGTTTTGAAAATAGTTTTGAGTGACACTAGATGGCTAGAATTGATATTTCCTCGTTTTCCACTCACCACATGGTGTTGTCTCCCTTCTATTTTGGATCTGATTAAGTGCAATCACTTGACACTTAATCTGTTATTAACAAGGTATAATGAGGATAATTACTAGCTACCCAAATGAGTATGGTTAAACCAACTTGTTAAAATTTACATTCAATCAAATGTTGACAACAATGTATTAGTTGAGGTAAGTTATAGTTGACAACAATGTATTTGTACCTATATATTGAAGAAAGACATTTTTATGAAATGTTTTCTGTTATACCGAACACATAAATCTGCACCAAATTGAAATTAAAAGTATTGCAATATAACTATTGCATTTTAAAGATTGATGCCTAAATGTTAATTGAAGCAAAAATATGAAGCTAAAAATTTAGTTATAAGAAAATTGACTTTAGCTCATAAATGAGGGAACAATTTCCCTCTTTCGATAGAAATTGTTTTTCCTTTGAAATCATTTTCTGGTAAACAAGCATTAGAAAATGACCAACATCATTCCAAACACTCCCGAGCTGCGAGTTGCAAATAGTCAACGTACTCACATGTATTCTTCTCTACATACAATTTTTATCTGTATCTATTATACAAAAGTCAACGACCAAAACCAACATTATAAGCCATTGTAACAAATATAAAATTTGAAATAAAGGGAGTAACAATGGAACTGATCGATGAGTTTTAAAACTAGTTTTTTTTTAAGGAATAAAGATTAACTCAATTGGATGACCAAAGTAATAAAACAAGTGCCAAATTTTAAAGTTTTTTTTTTGTCAAAAATGCTAAAATTTCAAAAGTATCCTTTTAATATTTGTCTGTGACGACTTATTTGAGTAGCCTTACCAGTTTTGTCATGCATTCTGTCCTTACCTTAATAAACTTCTGATAGTTATATTTGTAATTGTTTGGCTCTTGTCTCCTAGAGTGTGTAATTCATATTTTTGTTAGAATCAAGTAATTAGGTGTAATGTGGAAGCTAACAAAATAAATTTTGAACTACGATAAATCAGATAGCAAAACACAAATATACCAAACGAGACACAAACATTTAACGTGATTCGGTCAATTGGACGGAAATGAGCAATCCACTATATAAAAAGAGAAGAGAGTACAAAATATCAAAAAAACAACCTCACAAACAGGCAAACAAGTGGCACATTAACACTTGTCCCGAAAAGTTCTCCCCCCTAAACAAGACTCTCAAACTCCATACATTGTGGATGCTATTGAATGAGAAGAAAAGATCCTCAATTTATAGAAGTCCAAAACTTTTCTGTCGAGAAAATGAACCAGCCAAATATGAGAGATTTATGTTTCCTTCTAAGAATAGGAAAATCCAATTATGATAAATATATTACTCCTTCCTTTAAGAGATAGGAAAATCAAATACGATAAAAAGTTAATATTTTTATCAACAATAAGAGAAAAAGGAAAAGGCCATTTCAATATATTTCAATATTGAGTAAACAAACAAGAACTCTTGATAACATTAGCTAGCTAGAGAGCTATTTTTATATAGCAACTTGAAGTGAGCGACATGGAGTGGAAAGTGGAAACAGTCACAGTGATGGACAGTAACTGTGCTGTTTCTCATTTGTCGGCTTCCAAAAAAAAGCAAGGGCCAGAAGATAGCAAAATAGTACAAAGTCCTTAATTTGGTTACCAGTTGGTACCTTTATTAATATTCTTAAATCTTGTAAAGTCCTTAATCTTGGATTCTCCCTTATAAAAGTTTTGGCTCTGTCTATATCTATCCAGAGAATACTTTTTTCTGTGCTGCTTCTGCTTCTCTTTCAATTTGTCCACTAGTGAACATGCAAGTCAATTATCTCCTTGGTAAAGTTTAGCCCTGTACTTTTAGTTTGTGTGTGATTTTGTGCTAAGCATACATAATTTTCTATAAAAGATTTCACATTATTAAGAGTATCTCTACACTATATATTTGGCTTCCTAATTTTTTCAACTACCAACAATCTTCCCTCGAACTAAATTCTATATGGGCTATCACCACAACCCACAAGTCTCCGCCCGAACTAAGCTCCATGTCGCCCATTATCACAGTTCATGAGTCAATTTTCAAGATTTACTGTATGCCACCCACCTGACCGAGCATTCATGGCCACAGAAGCCCATAACTAGCTTCTTTTTGTGTGCTTGTCTAAGCTACCTTTGGTATAGTGAAGATAGTAAACCATGCCTCACGTTATTACTCAGCCATCTCCATAAAAAGAAAATAAAGGAAAGAGATTTTATTACAAAATAGAAACTTGATAGTAGCTGTAATTACTAGAGTACTGCACTTGAATCAACTGGTTATACAATTGTGATTCAATAAAGTTAATAATGACCACCGAGGGTGTGGTCGAATGGTTGGGAGTAAATAGGGTTTTTGTGTTCAAACTTTGGGAGCAAACAACCTTTTGTTAGGGAGTGCTTTATCCCTTAATTAGTGAACGCAACTATGTGAATCTGAATTAGTCACGTGAGACACGATTAAATCAAGTTCACAAAGTTAATAGGCTTTATATTTACCAGAAAAACTCAATAACCAAGTGCATGTGGCATGAGTTACCCAAAAAAAAAAAATATCTTGTCATTTTATTTATATTAATAAAAGGGTTAACATTTACTGGTAGCATATACTCAATACCAGCCTTTAGACGTGCTAATTAAGTTGTACATATCTTTAATTGCTCAAGTTCAGGGCTTTGTTGAAACATCTGGAAAATGATTTATTGGGCTTTGTTTACACAAGTTGAGGGCTTTGCTAATCAAATGTCCGGTTATATAAAATATGCTGACCATCAAATTCTGTGTTGATTGAATGTGCAGAAGTACAATATGTTTATGGCACAAATCGGTTGTGCAGCCATTGGTGTTTTGGCATTCACAATATTGGGGCCAGGTTGGCTAGCTCGAAGCACAGCCCTTTCTGCTGCCATGGCTTTCATGATTTATACTCGTTCTGTTCATCCTCCTGGTAAATTAGTGTTTGAGAAATTATCTCTTTTTGTATATTTCATAATATTCAAAGCTGATGTGCTAATTATGCATTATGTATGATAGCTGCAAGTCTGCCACTACTGTTCATTGATGGAGCTAAGCTGCATCAGCTCAACTATTGGTATGTTCTGTTCCCTGGAGCTGCTGGTTGCATTCTTCTGTGTTTAATAGTAAGTTTTGCTTCCTCTCTTCCTTCTTATTTAACTGCTATCAGTTAATGAAAAAGCTCATTGCATTCGTCTTTGAAACAGTTCAAATCATTTTAATAATAGGGTAATAAATTTGATCCGTTTACCGAGAAGTTCTATGGTTTGAGCCTGCTGAATTGAATTTTCGAACATGAGCAATATACTATTTCCTTATTTAGTATTCGACAATTCTCAAATCATGAGCTAGTTTTTTAATTGAGTTAGTGGCTCAAAGTTCACTTGCTCAACATTGTATCAAAGCGAGATTCGGTCAAGGTTTACCCAATGTTTGATCTCTATATTATATTGTCCACACACCCAATATCTAATTCTCGTTGTGGGAGGTATTAGATATGACATATTGATTGAGGAATATCTTGTTGTTCTCCTTGTATAATTTTAGATAATCTTTACTTATAAACTAATTTTTACAGTTGAGTTAGGTTCGAAGTCTTTAGGTTCAGGTCTACTTTTTTTTTTTTTTTTTTTTTTTTTTAATATAGTAGGACTCAAAAAGCCTAAAGTATCAGAGGATGTTCGGCCAATATGGTGACCAAATCATCTCTTTGCAATTGGAGTTGAAACATTTTTCAGATCTCGTTTTAGAGTGATTTATGATCAGTCTGGTATTAAATCTGTTTTTTTCCCTTCACTTTTGATAAGTGATACCAGTTATTGTTGTGTTCCATTTATTTAACATATTTATCTTTTTAGTCTATCTAAAAAAAGAATGTCATTTTTTAATATTTAGAACAACTTAACTTTTAACTTTATATATTTAACCCTTAATGACCTGATTTTATAGTCACATAAATATCTATAACATAAAAAAATCTTTGTTTCTTTCTTAAAATTAGTAGTTTGGTGAGTACAATTTTCCGACTATTTATTAATTCTCTCCTTTTCCAATAATTGCAGCAAGAGATGGTGTGTTACCTAAAAGAGAATGTCAAATTCTGATGTGAAATGCGATGCCTCATATGAGAGCTGTATAAAAATTCTTTTGCATGGTCAAAATTGAAGGTGCAACAGAGGAATCCACCATTTCTCCAATAAAGCAATCACGGATTTGATGAAAATGAATATCGTGCAATGTCAAGCGGATAATTCCGATTTATATATAGTTGTGAATATGATATGATTCTCATTCAACCCAGAAAAATTAAATATCATATAGTAGCTTTTTCTGGAAATCGTTGTGTCATGGAACTCAATTGACGCTTTTTTATTAATAGAAAATATCACAAATTTGTCATCATAAGCTATATATTATACAATCACAAATCTGAAGACTCTCATAAATATAGGAATAAATTTAGATGATAATTAATACTACTGGCATAAAAATGAAAACTTTAATCAATATTTTTCAAGTCCGACGCAAAATCATGTCTCCCCTAGCAGCTAGCACAATAAAGATCAGGTGAATCATGTGATGCTGGAAACATCTGTGTTTTTAATATTTAAGTTTATTGATGATATCAAGGAAAAGCTATTTTCCATATAGATCTTGAATACACGAAGTTTATAGTATGATTTCGAACGAAAGTTCAAACATGGATTACAAACTTATCCATAATGATTGATACGGATGATCTCGCCGGAGAGGGAGGCCATGGCCAGGAGCAGCCAGGTGGGAAAAGGGGTTTGCAGCAACTCAAAAAAAAATGAATAAGAAAAATGAAATTTTAGAGTTGCTTGTTGCCTTGTTGGACGTGCATCGAATGGAGATCGGATTTAAAATTTATTAATTTGAGATTTTAATCATTTTAAGTTATTGAGTTTTAAATTAATTATTTATATATATTAAATAAATATTTTAAAATAATTACAAAATTTGAATCAAAGTTAATGAGTTCGGTAAAATCCTATCTTACACACTACACTAGCTCCACCCCTAGGACCAAGAGCCTTTCCTTTCTAAAATCGAAAGTTATGTTTAACTAACAAAAAACAACACCTAATCATTTTAACTAACAAAAAACAACACCTAATCAATCATATGATAAATCTCGTCGGCGGTGCATCATCAAACGGAAAAGTACAGGTGTTAATTCTCACATATTTGGAGAGCTGGATGAATGCAAATGGAGAAGATCGAGATGCAGAGAAAATATGTGGAGAGAAAGTGTGAAACTTATTTGTAACCGACTTTTGTGTCCATTTACATTGTTAATATATAACTAACAAACTAACCACACTAGTTAATTAGTCTAACTATGGTCTAAGTGACAAATGTACAATCAGTGAGTTCCTTTACACCTCCCTCCCCCCCCCCCCCCCC